AAATCTCCTCTTATTCAATCTTTAACATGCCTAGATCAGAAGTCATATCTTCCATGTGCCTTCCCTGATCCCCCAGACAATCATTTCTTAGAATCAAATGTTCCATATGCATAGAATATTATGTGATGGGGAGGATGATTATTTATATATATATATGTATGTATACAGTGTGTGTGTGTGTGTGTGTGTGTGTGCGCAGACTGTTGCCCACACTAGTTGCTTCTCAAGAGCAGTCTCCATGTCTTTGTATACACCAATGTTTTTAAATTTTTGAATCATGTACACATGAGTTACAGGTGCCTGAGGAGGCCTGAAGTGTTGGATTCCCCTGAAACTGTAGTTTTAGGTGGTTGTGAGCCACTGGACATGGGTGATTGGGAAAAAAACTGGGATAATTTGCAAAAGCAGCACTCCTAACTGCTGAGCCATTTCTGTAGCCCCTGGATCCACTAATTCTAATGCAACATCTGCCACACAAAGCCCAATCCATACTTAGGGAAATGAGGTGATCTAAGCTGAAACACTATCAGTCTCTCTTGTTCGTCTTTCAAACCCATCTGGACACTCTTTACTCACCGACTTTTGAAATTCCTTTTGTCTCCAATGCCAAAACCCTTCCCCACACCTGCAATCACCCTCCTCTCTAAACCCGAATTGAATCCACGTTTTACTTTAGGATGTTGGATGCAAATATGAAGAAATCCCAACTCCTACATTTTTTTGTTTTTTGATATGTTGAGCCTGTCCTCTGCTTCCACTGTTTCGAACTGTGGGAGCTGGTTACTCTGCTACACAGGCCCTTGTATTTTACAGAGCTCAGTCTCTGCCAAACACTCACAGCTCTGTGAGGTGTGGTACCTGCCTTGATATCATGTGGCATTGCTCAGAAAGCTTCTGAGTCTTGGCAGTAAGCTTATTTACATGCTCCAGTGATGACTCATAGGTAAAGCACCAGCCAGTTAATGCAGGCATTCAATACATAAGGCCTCCCACACAAAGCTGATCCTTGTACCAGCATCATGGATACCACCTGGAGCTTGAAAATACAGGACCTCACCCCAATTCTACTGAATCAGAAAGGTTCAAAATGGCCTGTTAAGTTGAAGAAACATTGTGCTAAAGTACCAGATCCCTTGGCCATAGGACAGCAATCTGTGATCAGTGATAGGAAACAGTTCCAAGGAAGACAGAGGATGGAGCCTAGTATGGGATCCAGGAAATTCTGTTTCAGATTCCAAGCTATACTGCTCTCGCCTAGACAACTTACTCCTCTCTCTGATGCTTACTGATAAACTGAGAGATTAAAGCCCTTAGCTAGCCTGCAGGATGGCTGTGAGGATGAGGTAACAGTGTAGATCAAGTGCCTAAAATAGATGGTGGTCAACTGCCATTACTGCTTCCCTTCCCGAGAGATAGTTTACTTTGGCTAGTAAAAGTCATCTTGAGGGGCTAGAGAGATGGCTAGCGGTTAAAAGCTGCTGCTCTTGCAGAGGACCTGGGTTCGAGTCCCAGTACCCACATGGTGGCTAACAACTGTCTTTAACTCCAGTTCCAGGGGATCTGACACCTTCTGACCTTCACAGACATTGAACGATATGGGTCAATTACACACATGCAGGCACTACACTCATACACAAAAATAGAAATAAAATATTTTTAAAGTCACATCGAATGCTCTAGAAGAGCTTAGTAGATCTCAACAAGAGCTTCCCAATCTCCTTCAAACAGATTCTAAATTCAAGGCATTTCCTCAGAGATTTTGTTTTTAATTTTACCACCTATTGGTGAAGATTCCAGGGGTTCTGTGGAATTACAAAATGTTCTTTCTCTCCCATGTCAGACTATCTGTGGAGTCATGCTTCACGATGTAGGAGGGAGATATACAATCTAGAGGATGGCAGGGTAGGAGACACCTTCTGCCTTTCCTTCTGTGAACAGCCAGTGAGCTGCAGTGCCCCCAACTCACAGGCAGCCATGGCAAGGCTAGGCAAGGGGGAGACCAGACCACTAGCTCTCACAGCTCAATAAGAAGTCCCAGAGAACTCTTAGCTACCCTGGAGTTCCTATTGGTCAGCAGAGTTCCACAGTACACATATAGTTCTTCCCCAGATGAGATCTTCATTCCATTGAAACCATGGAAACCTTTCCAATGACCCATGATTCTCCACAATCTTTCCTACTTTAGGAGTCTCCTCACGCAGAATCTAGGAGCCACAGGTCAAGGTGAAGCTGTAATCTGCCAATTCTAGTATACCTGATCCCTGAGAAGGTCTCAGGAAATGTCCAGCTAGTCCAGTCTTTGGAATGGACTCACAGCAGCTTGTGACTGGGCAGTGCTACAGTGGCTGTAGAAACAGCTGAGCAGTTTGCAGCTTGTACATCATAAGAGCCTGTATTTCTGTCTCTCATCCATCCAGAATCATCAAAAGGAAGGATTGGAGGAAAATTCTCAGGTCAATGACCACTTAGATGCTATAGCTTGTGGCCCAGAATTTATCTTTTCCTCTTGCTCTTCAACTTTATTTGAGTAGGAACTTAGGGTCCTATAATATGCTACTTAGATAATTTTGGTAGTATTCTTTTGTCAAAGGTTCTTGATACTCATTCTTGAGATATATATATCCTAGAAGAATTGTGTTCTCTTTTATAGCTTTATGTCCTCCATCAACTTTGCCCATGCTATAAACCTTTAATCTGCATGGCAGCTGGGCTGGTGGTGCCTACCTGTAATCCCAGTACTTGGGAAGAAGAAACAAGAGGAAAACAAGTTCAAAGCCAGTCCCTGCTACACAGCGAGCGAGAGGCCAGCCTGCACTATGAGACTCTGTTTCAAAAAAAAAAAAATGAAAATGAGGGTCTTGGGACATGCTAACTGCACAAACATAAGGACCTGAGCTCAAATCCTCAGCACCCACATAAAAAGTGAGGCATGCACCTGTAACCTCATTGCTATGGGGGGGGGAGAAGCAGGAGGCTCTCTGGGGCTTTCAGGCCATAAGACTAGACCCAGGTTCAGTGAGAGACTCTATCTCAAGAGAATAACGTATTGAGTTACTGAGTCAGGCACTGGACATTTTCCTCTGACTTCTACCCTTACACACAGGCATGGCATGGGGCATGGATATCAGCAGATACACAGGCGGCTGTAACACATACAGAGACACACACATACATACACAAAATGAATAAAATAAATAAATCATAACCTACATAGTTATATTTTCTATGTATTCTTTTTTAAAAAATATAAAGAGGGTCTAGAGAGTTGGCTCAGGGGTTAAGAGCACTGGCTGCTCTTTCAGAGGAGCTAGGTTTAGTTCCCACTACCAACATGGTGGCTGATAACTGTCCGTAACTCCAGGTCTAGGGAATCTGACACCCTTTTCTGACCTCCACAGGCATCTCATGCATAAGTGCACTTACCTCCATATAGGCAAAATGCTCATACACATAAGATAAAAAATAAATTAAAGAAATTAAAAGAACAATCTATAGTTTTAATCTGTTAATTATAATTTTAAAAACATTTACACTTTCATTTTTGAGCTTGTAGAATGAGTAGGGTAAAATGGCCTAACACAAGATTGGATAAATTAGTGTCCCTGTCCTCAAAGAACAAATGAACAATAATGTTTAAACATAAGAGGGCAGAAAACATATCTATAAGTTCTCATTCTGCACCAATAAAAAAATAAATGATATGAAATGTACCCGGGGGTTGGGAGGTAAAGATATGGCTCAACCATTAAGAGCACTGGCTGCTCTTGTAGAGGACCAGGGCTTAGTTCCCAGCATCCACATAGCAGCCTACAACCATCCATTATTACAGTTCTAGGTGATCCAAAGCCCTCTTCTGGCCTCCATGGGAATTGCATGCATGGGTATACTTACATACATGTAGGCAAAACACTCACACACATAAAATAAAATAAATAAGTTAAAAACTGACCCTTATGAGTTGTTGCTCCTTGCCCTCCTAGGTCGACTAAGTTCCAGGGGACTATGAGCATCTCTCAAAATGTCCTGTAACTGTGGTGAGTCACCTGTCCTCTTGAGTACGGAGGCTGTGGAGACCCCACCAGATGGACCTGAACCAGTGTCCAGTCTACAAAGAGAAGGGTCAACACAGAGGAAACATTTCCTCCATGCTTCCAAGTGAAGCCAGCCATGGTCCTGCAGGACCTTTGACTTATCTTCACATAGATGGAACTGGTAAAAGAAAGGAGCCAGGGGCTCCTCTCAAGCCTATGTGACCCCTGAGGAACAGATCCTCAAATGAACTTTAGAGTAAAAATAAATCAGTTTTATCTGGACCAACTGTATGGCCCTAAACATCCAAAAGGAAAGTAGAAC